TTCTCAGATCTTCAGATTTTCAGAAAACCTCCCCCTCATGAGCTCTTAAGGCCAGAAGAAGGTGGAGGAGGAATCCCTGGGGGCTCAGAGTAGCATGGGTGTGGGAGTGGGAGTGTTGTTGAGCATACCAAGGGCAGGGAAGGGTGGCCAGGCCCTCAGTATTTCTGAAGGGATTCCAGCCAATTCTTTCTACCAGTATATTCTTGGAACTGGGGACAGTGGGGTGGGGGTGCAGGTGGGGGTTCAGAAGGGAAAATCTTCCTGAGTTGGGGAGCCAGTGGAAAGTGTGAAAGAACATGGGTTTGGAAGACCTGGGCAGGTGTCTGAGTTCCAGTCCAGCGACTCGGCTGTGGAACCAGGGGAAGGGGTCATGCTAATGACACCGTGATAGGAGCTGACAGTGCGGAGCTCTGCAGGGGCCTAATCACCATACATCACCGCTCACCTGTGGCCAAGCTCCTGGGGACCACGGCGGGCAGAGGGCTGGGGGACATCTCAGCACACGGTACATGAACATTCGTTTAACCTCACCGTCGTTGCCTGAGCTGCTGCCCCCAGGAAAGAGACCTCCCTATGTTTCCCTCTTCAGAGAATGAACCTCCCTTGTCCGCCAGCCTCAGTGTGGGGCAGACCCGATGCTGCATGGAGGCAGGGAGTTAATGGCGTCTGGCTGTATCTTAAACAGCCTGTCAGCCCATTCCTGGCTCTCGTGCTCCCTCTTCACCCCCTCTTCTAGAGACATCCCTTGGTGGAGTCATCCCTGGGCCCTTCGCAGGGATCATGTGTAAATCATGTGGCTGCTGCTTACATGATTTAGGAGTCAGCTTTCAGGGGCCTGCTCACTGGTGACCACTCATCCATCTGCTCACCAGCTTTCTTTCCCTTGTTGCTGGGTTTTTGTTTGTTTTATTTTTTGCTGCCGTCTCTTTTCCTGCTGATGTTGTCCTTCTGAGTTCATGTGTTTCAGGGGGAAAAAAATCCCTTCATCTTATTTTAGTGGGCTTTGAAATGTTAAGTGCATGTGTTCAGTCTTCCATCTTTAACAGGATGGAATTTATCCAGTCTGCTGATTAATCCCTTTATCAATCACTCACGCGCTGCCCAGGATGTCTATGAATGTGGCATAACACAAAATTGTAAATTGACCTAAACCCTTTTTTTTTGCTCATCAGTTTTCATTAGTGTTTGTATATTTAATGTGTAGCCCAAGACAACTCTTCTTCCAGGGTGACCCAGAGATGCCAAAAGGTTGGATACCCCTGACTGGCTTTCATGCTTTGGGTATCAAAAAGCATTGTGAGTCGTGGCCCTTAAACACATTTCAGCTTGCAAATTAACTTTGCAAATAAGTTATCGTGGATTCTTTCTCTTCTCTCAGCTCCCACCGTCTTTCCCTACAACCGCTCCCCAGAGCTTCGTGCACATGTTCTGGGTGACTCACCGAGTGCCTTGCACCCTAGCTAGCCCATCTGTTACAGAGTCTTTATCTGAGAAGAGACACTAGCACGGTAGCAAGGTTAAATTCTACAAGCCTATGATGTCATTGTTAATTTTTATTATAAATAGTATTGAAGATATCAAAAAGTCTGTAAAAGGTACATGTAGAGTGTGAGAGAAGATACATATTGTACCCAGCATCCAGCTTACTCCCCTTAACCCCCAATCCCTGAGTGCCTCTTCCCATTGCATGCCCCGCCCTCCCAGAAGCAATCACTACTTTGTGGTAATCACTGCTTCTCTTCATAGTTTTGCTACCTGGGCATGGAAACCTAAGCAATACATTATTTCTTTTTACCTGTTTTGGAAATCTCTATGAATGGAATCATATATTTGTAGTTCTCTCTAATTTGCTTCCTTTACTCAGTGTTGTGGGGTTTTTTTTTTGAGATTCATTCAATTGACCCTGGTAGCTGCAGTTCATTCATTCAGCTATAATGTTCCATTATGATCTGTCAACACAGTTTCTTTCCATGTTCTACTGGTGATGGACATTAGGATTGTTTCCTTCTTTTACTCTTCTGAGCAACAGAGCTGGGACTATGGTGAGGCAAAAAAGACCCTGCTTAAGTTTCCTGTAGCTGCTGGAACAAATGACCAGAGAAGTGGTGGCTTAAAACAACAGAAATTTATTCTCTCACAGTTCTGGAGGTCACAAATCTGCAGTCACGGTGTCGGCAGGGCTAGGCTCCCTTTGGAGGATCTAGGAGAGGATCTTCCTTGCCTCTTCTAGCTTCCGGTGGCTCCAACCCACGGCCCTCAGGCCGCATGTGGCCCAGGATGGCTATGAATGCAGCCTAACACAAAATTGTAAATTTACTTAAACATTATGAGATTTTTATTCTGTGATTATGTGTTGCAATATATTTAATGTGTGACCAAGACAGCTCTTCTTCCAGTGTGGCCCAGAGGTGCCAAAAGGTTGGACACCCCTGGATGGCTTGTGGCAGCGTAACTCCAATCTCGGCCTCCGTCTTCACATGACCTTACCCTCTTCTCCCTCTGTCTCTCCTCTTTGTGCCCCTTTCAAGGACACTTCTCATTGAATTTAGGGCCCACCTAGATTATCCTGAATGATCTCATCTCCAGATCCTTACCTTAATTACATCTTCAAAGACCCTTTCTTCACATAAGGTCACAGCCACATGTTTCGGGACATGCACTTGTCTTCTGGGGTTGCGGGGGGTGGCCGTGGTACCTTACCTTTTGTGCCCCAGGAGCCTCTCTTCTCACCTTGGCCCTGCTGTGAACATCTGTGCACGTCGCCTAGAACCCTCAGACAGGAGTTTGTCCAGAGTACATAACACGGGAGTAGAATTGCTGGGCAGTAGAAGATGTGCATATTAATCTGTATTAGGTAAGGCCAAACTTTTCTTCAAAGTGATCGTGCCCATTTCTGTCACCACCAGCAGTGAGTGGCAGTTTCCGTTGTCCCTCAGCCTGTCTAGGACCTGCATTGACCTACTTCCTAGTCATAGTTGGTCTGGTCGGTGTGAAAGGGTAGGTGCGGAAAGACTAGATGTGAGAGAGTTCCTTGGCAAGGTTTTTATGTGCATTTCTAGCGACCCGTGAGGGCTGAGCATATTTTCACATGTTAACGGGCCATTTGTGTTTCTTCTGCTGTGAAATGCTTTCTTAAGGCTTTTGCTCATGTTTATAATTTATTTTTGCTTCCTTTTTATTTATAGGAGTACTTTATATACTCTCTATAGTAACCCTTTGTTGTTAAATGGGTTCCAAATATCTTTTCATAGTAAGTTGCCTTTTTACTCTCTCCTTTTAAAATGTAGTTGAATTTACTGTTTTCTTTATCATTTGAGCTTTTGGATTAAGAAATCTTCCCTATCCTTAAGCATAAAAATACTTCTCTATGTTGCTTTTTATAGATTTTATAGTTTTATCTTTCATATTCAAATCCTGGAATGGGTCTTTCAGCAAACCATGCGAGGCAGGGGGGCAATTTCACTTATTTGTATTTAATTAACCAATTGTCTCAGCGCCGTTTATTAAAAGTACAGGCTCTACCCACTATCCAAAAGGTCTCTCTGGTCATAAATCAAGCTTCGGCATGTACATTGTTCTCCGTTCTGTTCCATTGGTCCGTTTGTCTGTCCTTGTTTCAGTGAACACTGTCTTCTTAATTCCTACACTTTCACAATAAGGCATGGCATCTGTTTGGGTAGGTTCCCCCAACTTACTCTTTTTCAGAAGCGTCTTGGTTTTCTTGGACAGTTGCTGTATCATAAATGTTTTTGGAACAGCTTTTCAAATCCCTTGAAAATACCTGTTGAAATTTTTATAGGCAGTGCATGAAAGATGTAAATTAATTTGGCTAGAATTGATGTAATTACAATTTTGAATTTTCTTATCTAAGAATAATGTATTTCTTTTCACTTATTTAGATCTTTTTTTTTTAATTGATCTTTTAGAAAGAGGGAGGAAGGGAGAGAGAGAGAGCAAGAGAAAGAAATATCAATTTGCCATTCCACTTACCCATGCATTCATTAGTTGGTTTTTGTATGTGCCCTGACCAGGAATCAAACTTGCAACTTTGGTATATCGAAACGACATTCTAATCAACTGAGCTACCCAGCCAGGGCTGCATTTATTTAGATCTTCAAAATATCATTTAAACTTTGATCACTTTCCACAAAGGGTTTACATATCTTTTCTAGATTTATTCCTAGGTACTGTAAAATTTTTGGTGGGCTTTAGAAACGAGTATCTTTTATTTTCAGTTTTATTTTTTTTAAAGATTTTATTTATTTATTTATTTTTAGAGAGAGAGGAAGGGAGGGAGAAAGAGAGGGAGAGACACATCAATGTGTGGTTGCCTCTCACATGCTCCCTACTGGGGACCTGGCCTGCAACCCAGGCACGTGCTCCAACTGGGAATCGAACCTGTGACCCTCTGGTTCCCAAGCCAGCACTCAATCCACTGAGCCACTTCAGCCAGGGCAGAAATGGGTATCTTTTAAAGAAAATTACATTTTCTGTTTATTGCTGATGTATAGGAATACAAATGATTTTTGTATCCACCAATCTTGCAGACCTTTCTTATTAGTTCATACTGTAGATGAACATTATTTTGGGGTTTCTAGGTAGCCAGTTATTCACCTGGAAATAATGACGGTCTTACTCCACTCACCCTTTTGTAGATGAGATATTGTTAGTCCTGCAGGTCCAGTAAGAAAACTTTAAGTAACACTTACTGAATTCAAAACGATCATTTGTCTATTTTATATAAATTCACCTTAATGTTTAAGGAGCCCTAGTCCAACTATGTGGCATAAAATGCAGAAATCGGTTGAAGCAGCAGATCTGAATGCCAGTTCGTGGGATACACAGGATGTTGGGGAGAGCTAGGAACAGCCCGCTGACTGAGGTCCCGAGACTGTAAGGCAGGTTCCTCACTGCACATGACATGTTGATGCTGCCGTGAGTTTGTAGGTGATACTTGCTGGCAGAATGACTGCCTCACAACTTCCTCTCCTCTCTTCTAGGATGGTGGAGGATGAGCGTGGGCTGTGGAATCAAACAGATCACCGAGTGTCCCCAGGCAAGTGGCTTACCCTGTCTGAATCATAATTTTCTCATTCGTCAACTGGTGGTGACCAGTATCCCTCAAAGGGTTTGGGGGAAGATTGAACGCATTAATAAATATGAAGCGTGGAAGACAGCTCGGTACCTAGTAAATGCACTTTTAATGTCAGCAACAAACTGTGGACCCAGGCAGGTCCCTGCGTCCTGTGACTTCATCATCCTTCCGCACAGGCAATAGAATACTGTTAGGATGACAAGCATGGGCTTTCAGAAATCCTTTAGTCTGGAGATTTCTGAACTGTTCATTAAGCAAACATTTTTTAAAAGGTACTTAAACCCCAATTTTTAAAAAAACACAGCTACAATAGGAGCTGGTTCCCGTGAGTTATGAAGAATCAGGAGCCTGATCCCCCAGCCTCTTTGCCCAGCCCCCCACAACCCCCAGCCTCCAAGGCATGTCTAACGTGCCCCCGTCCTCCACAGAGCCCTGCTCCTGTGCACCCCCTCTGTGTCAGCCTGCTCAGGCTGCCATTACAATACCATGGACTCGGTGGCTTAAATTACAGAAGTGTATTTTCTCAGAGTTCCAGAGGCCGAAAGTCCAAGACCAAGGTGCCAGCGGGGTTGGCCTCTGGTGAAGCCTCTCTTTCTGGCATGCAGATGGCTGCCTTCCTGCTGTATCTTCAGGTGGTCTTGTCTCTGTGTGCACAGAGAGGAAGTGAGCTCTGATGTCTCCTCTTCCAAGGACACGAATTTTATTGGAGCAAAGCCCCACCCTTTTGACCTCGCTTAACCTTTATTAGTTACCTCCTTATAGGCCCCATCTCCAACTATAGTCGCATTGGAGGTGAGGTCTTTAATATCTGACTTTTGGGGGAACACAACTCATTCCCTAACAGCTTCCCATTTTCCAGACAGAGAAACCAAGGCTCCTCAAAGGTAGATGATTCTTCCCAGCGTACTTTGAAAATTGGAAGCTGAGGTTAGACCAGACATCCTGTGCAGTTCTGGTCACAAGCTCAGCTGCTCTGGCAACTGGGTGACCAAGTGAGGTCCCGGGAGCTTGGCGGGGACCTCCTGGCCTCTGCTCAGAACCCAGCACCCTCAGAACCCTGCTTGGGGGCCCAGCACTCCACCTGGGCCCCAAGATGGGTGGGAAGCTCCAGGAGCTCCTGTGGGAAGTGCTGTTGGCATGGCCATTGGCATGGATCGTGGGCATGTTTTCCAAGGGGCTCTGTGAGCTGGACCCTAAGAGCTGAACAGACATATGTGGTGATGGCAGTGTGTGCACATGAGATTAAGGAACGTGTGGGGTGCAAAGGGGCAGTGAGATTCTACTGCTGCAAGGCAGGGCAGGCTCAAGGTAGCAGACTGCTGGCTTGGCTGTAGCAGCTCACATTTATCAAGTTCTTACCATGTGCTGGCTGTGCTAAGTGCTCGATAAACCCACATCCCAGGATCCCCGTGACCACCTTGCAGGCGGGAGGTTAGGTAAGCTCTCAGTGTGACACAGCTAAGAAGTGGTGGGGCCCTGGGCACAGCCTTCAACTGTTTGGCTCCAGAGTTCACTCCCTAAAGCTGTGCTCTGCTGCCTGGGTCCTCCCAGCCCCTCCCTCTAAGCTCCTTTCTTCTCTGAAGCCGGAGCACAGCCTCTTGGTGATGCTGCTGGGCTGGCCAGGCCGGGCCTCTTCTCACAGCCTGGTCAGACTTGGATGTTTCTCATCTCCGAGAGGAAAAATAGGAAAGGGAAATGTATGTCGTGGTTCTCCCAACCCTGTCTAGCAGCCAAACAGATCAAACGAGGTGAAGGTGGGGGTGGGGGGCTGGAATGTCCCAAGCTGTCTTTTCCCAAGTTGAGGAACGGAAGCCATGACAGCTAAGGGGATTTGTGGAAATTCCTCCGCGCATTGTTACCAGGCAAAGGAAGTGTTTTAGAGTTGAGCTCTCAATTTCTGCCCTAGGGAGCCAGGGCTAGTTTCCGCTTCTGATGCTTGTTTGTGGGAAACTGAAGGGGCTGTTTGAGGTCCTCAAAGTGGGGGGCTCCAGATCAGCCCCCCACCCTCCCTGCCAGAGGTGAAGGGGGCAGAGGGTCCAGCGAGCCAGACAAAACAGCCCCGGAATCTGTTCGGCCTCTTTTTCCTTCCACTTTGAGACGGATGGCTCAGAGCCGAGGCAAACGAACAGAAACATTTTTTCCAGGCCTGCTGGTATTTGTTTCTGGCACAATCAGCACGAGCAGATTAGAGAAATAAGTTGCATTTTTTTAGTCTGTGTTCGCCCTCTGGACTGGACCTTATCACGCTCTGCCAGCGTGGCCTTCCACAGCCACCAGTCCACTCTGGAAGCATGGCCAGGCCTGATGCCCATGGCATGGCCGGCCAAACACTACCAGCTGGTGAGTCAACTCCCAGTCTCCTGGGAAGGGCGTAATTAACTCATCAGAGAAGATATACGTGCATCTCTACATGTGTCTCCATATGGAGATACCCACTTATAAACATACATGTTTCAGATAGCTACTTGCTTCCTTCCATAGCTGTCCTGGGTGCCCTCTGGCTCCACTCTCTGATGCAGGAGCGCTCTGTGGGAGTCCTGGACAGGACCCTGGAGGAAGGGGAGGCTAGCACAGGTTCCCCTTGGAAAGTCTTGCTGGGAGCCAGATACTGAGGGCTGTACCAGGCTGCTCCACCCAGTCCCTGCCAGGAAAACCCTTTCCCAGAAAATCACCTCTGAGGTGTGACAGAAACCTGGCGGGGAAAGGGGGCCCTAGGCCCACAAGGCCCTTCTCGGCCCCCGCACTGTCTCTGGAGGGAAAGTGAAGGTATATCAGCTTGGCTCAACAACCTGCGTGGGAGGAACCGGCTGGTTACTTGTAAAAGAAAGAACTTTTACAAGACGAATGAACTGAGCAGGAGGTACTCACTTGCCAGTCTTTCTTCTCCCCTCCCCTCCTCTTTCCCTCCTTCCTTTCCTCCTTCTCTCTTCCTTCCTTCCTTTCTCTCTCCTTCTCCTGGAAAGAGAGCGCCGGGCACTCCTCGCCTTTAATCTCCCAATACAACTGGCTCAGTGTGAGCACCAGGCTGGAGGGCAGGAGGAGCCATAGCCCTTGGACCCAAGGATCACATTCAGTCTGTCCCCTTCACAAACTCCGCCTGGAGGGGGACGGACTCCAGGATGCCTGAAGCTGGGCTGTGCTGCCTCAACCTCCGACGCTGTCTCCGGCACTAAGGAGCAGGGCAGCGGTGGAGCCCGGGCAGCGGCCTAGGGATGACGCCGCCCAAGACAAATGGAATGTGGGGTCGTATGTCAGGCCGTTTGGAAGAATGACTATGTCAGAGTGAACAGAAATTTTTTTAATGGTTTACATCCATAAGACTTCTGGGAAAGGGACAGTTTCCCAACATGTAAAAAATGAATTTTTCAGTCACCATTCCTAACGCCCAAATACACTTCAGGACTGTGAAAACTTCATGTACAATGATATGTTGTTATGAACTAAATTATACTGAGCAGTTAGTTGTAAGAGGGCATTTTATGTTTTATTTTTATTTCCATGCGCAGTTTATTTTTGCTCTGACATTTTATTATAATTTCTTCCTACAGTAGGTAAAGTGCTTGGGAAGTTAATTTAAACCAGCCTGACTCGCTGTGTGTTTTTTAATATTTGTTTAAGCTTTTATTGAGCTTGTCAGGCAAGTCAGTGTGCAAAAATGCAGCTGAAAACCCCTTTTTCCTTTTGCGGTGCCTGCCCATTAATACTAGGTGGTGACAACAAGATTCGCGCACACTTCAAATGGGGGATTATTCTGGGTTTTCAAGGAAATTCGAGCCACCTGTTTCAGAAACCTCTTAGTGACTTAGCAGGATGATGGAGGGTGTCTCCCCGCTCAGCTGTTGCTCAGAGTTCCAGCCCCCCTGGCCCCTGGGCCTGGCCGGGTGCTGCAGGAGCAATTTGCATCACTGGTCGGAGCCCTGGGCTCAAGTTGTCCTCCCAGCTTGCGGCTTGGCCTCAGCCCTGGCCAGAAAAGCAGCTGCCATCTATCTGCCTGCGGGGAACTTTCCAGATCCACAGCAGGCTGACTTCCCCTGGGTTCAGGCTGCTCAGTCTGGAGCTGTTTATCATGGACAGCGGAACGACATGGGATCACCTTGAGGAAGTGGGTTGTGAGAGCCGATTGTGTGGCCTACGTGTCGGGGAGCCACGCTGCCCACAGAGTTTGGCTAAGAAAGAAATAAAAAGTCAACATTTTCCAGCAGGCTGGATGCGGCTGGGTATTTCTGGAGCCCAGGAGTCCCTGAAAAAAAAATGGCCCTTGTGGTGGCGACAGGCAGAGAAGGTGGTGGAACGCTGCACAGTCTGGTTTCAGTGACTCTTTGGAAAGACCTCCTCCCCCAAGCAAGAAGTTTCTCTGGCTCACAGTCCAAGCTCTCCATCCAACTTGATCTAGGAGTAGACTAGACTTGCACATGGTAGCCGTGGGGGGAGTCTGAGTGTTGAGCTGGACAGTGGTTTTCAGAGTGTGGTCCTCGGTCAGCAGCCACAGCATCACCTGGGAACTCGTCAGAGATGCAAAATCTAGTCATCTGTGTTCCGGCAAGCCGTCCAGGTTATTCTGATGCAGGGTGCAGTTTGAGAACCACTGGTCTAATAATCCAAATCATTTGATCAGTGGGTAAACTGAGGCCTGGGGTAGGATGGGAGGTACCAAGACGAGTTCTGCCAGGCTAGAGTTCTTTGTACCCCTTCTTCTAGCCATCCAGGTAAGATGAAGCTGTGACTTCTGAAATCTCACCAACTGTTAAAGTTGATCCTCTCATCTCAGCTCGGTCCTTAGCTGACCTCACACCATCTGCAAACTCCAGTTGGGCTCTTCTTCTAGCAGCCTTGATGATCATTCAGATTTTGGCTTTTTGGTCAATGTCGTGTCTAAAAGAGCTATGATGAGGGCCCTCACAAGTTGTTGAATTAGCTGAGTCTGGCTCCTGCCCTGTTGTGCTCTCTTCTAAAAGAGGATT